TACTAGGGGCGCCGTTGCCAAGGACGCCCGCCTGAGTCCCTGCAGTCCGCGCCATGGACGACCTGCGGGTGCTGTGGATGCGCGACCGCGTGTACGCCGCCTTCGGCCTCACCGACCCCCAGCTCTTCGAGGAGCTCTTGAGCCGCGACGACGGCGAGGCCGAGGACCACATCCTGCACTTCCTCAACCAGACCACCGAGGAGGAGGGCGCCTCCACGCTCTTCTTCTACCGCACCGTGGTGCCCGAGGAGGTGGAACTGGAGATCGGTGAGCCGCTGCCCTCGCCCGGCCCTGGGCCCCCCGGGAGAGGCAGGAGGGAAGGACACCTCCCGGCCCTCACTCAGTCCCAGGCAGTGTGCAAGTAATTAGCCCCACGAGACCAGTGTATCACCCTTCCCGTCTTACTGATGGGCAGCCTGGCACCAGAGGGGTAAGGAGCTGGCCCAGGGTCACTTCTGGGTCTGTAACACAGGCTGAACACAGGATGGTTCTGGCCGGGTGCACGTGGGCCGCCCTCTCCCTGGCAGGGACAGCTCAGGGTCAGAGGCACCTCTTGCTGTTTCGGAGGGCTGAAAAGTGAAGTGCGTGGGAGTCTAGTGGTTATGTCCTGATGTATCTGGGCTCCCACACGACTCAGCACCGTTCGAGTCCGGAAGGGTCGCTTGAAGATCTCCCCAGGGTACATGTGCATGGGTGCCAAGGTCCAGAGAGGAGAATGGAGGAGGGATTGCAGCATGGCCACCCCCCCCCCTGGGGGGATTTCCCACTTTCCCTTTCACTGTGTCTGTCTCTGGGGAGCACACACATCCTAAGGCAAAAACCTCTTAAAAGAAAGTGAAGTATGGGGCCAGCAGGTGGCAGAGTGCCTAAGGTGCTGGACTCCCACATAGCTGACCACGGTTCAAATTGAACCGCACTGGGCGCGTGTGCATGTGTGCCCAAGGTCCCAGGAGAATGGAGGAGAAGGGACTGTGGTGTGGCCACCCCCCCCCGCCCCCAGGGGTGATTTCTCGCTTTCCTCCTGTCTCTGGTGAGTGCACTCACCCTGTGACAAAAGCCTGAACATACATACATACATACATACATACATAAACAAAAACAGTGAAGTATGCCCGAACAAGGCTTAAATAGATTGCAATGGATTTGAACGGTTTACTTGTAACCAATTAGCATCTAAAACTTTAAAAAGCAACAGTGACGGGGAGGCCAGAACCCTCTGGAGGTGGGTCCCAGCCCAATGGCTCCTCCAGCCCATCGGATAGGTCCAAGGACACAGAGGAGGGAGCAGGACAGACAAGGGAGACCTACAAACAAGAGTCCTCATGGGAGGCAGTGTGGAGCACATTGAAGGTGTATGTGAAACAAACCGAATTTTGTATTTAGGCTTGGGGTCCCATCCACAAGGTATCTCATGATATATATGCAAACATTCCAAATCCCTCCCCCGAAAAAAACCCAAATATGAAACACTTCTGGTTCCAAGCATTTCAGATAAAGGAGACTTAGCCTATCTTCTGCTAATGTATGGATATGTATATAGTTCGTAAAATCATAAGATCATACAACTCATTATTCTGTGATTTATCCCTTCCACACACGTATCTCGGAGTTTCTCACGTCAGTACCTTTAGGTTTATCTAACCTTACAGACTCGAAGCCCATAGGTGTGCCATACGGTATTTACTCGTTCCCTAATGGACATTTAGCATAACGCTGCCCGTCCGGCTTTGCTCATTTTGTGCCTTGCTGGAGGACGGACCCCCAAAAGTGGAATTGCTGATCTAACGCGTGTGTGCCCTGCCAGCCCACCTCCCGGCGAGGGTGGGCGAGATGCTTGTGTCCCCGCAGTCTCTCCAGCACTGGGCCCTGGCTGCCTTTGTAATTTTGCCAATCCTCCAGATGAAGAGTCACTGACATTTACGCGGTTATTAGTGCTGAGCCTCCTCGGCATACACCTAACATACAGTTTGCCATCGTAGGATCTTCACTGCACAGTTCAGCGTTATCAGGTGCATTCACAATGTTGTGCTGCTGTGAAGCCCCCACCCCCACCCCACAGGGTGCGCGCACTCAGCAGAGAGAAGCAGAGTGAGAGAAAGCGAGAAACCACCCTCGGCGCATGGTCATGCCGCAGCTCCCTCTCCTGTATGCTCCTCTGTGGATTTGGGGCACACATGCACAAGCACCTGGAGTGATTGTCAAGCCGCTGGGTCCAGGACTTGAACTGTAGTTGACCGTGTGGGAGTCCAGGGCTGTAGCCACCATGCACCTGCTGGCCCCGAGTCTCTTTTTTTTTCCTGCTTGCTGGCCATTCGTATTTCTTCTGGACTGCTGGCAACTGTGACCGTTCTTGTACCCTTCCTGTCTCGGCAGAATTTGCACAAGCCTTCCTTTGCTGTCCCATCAGGGGACAGCATCCCCATAAGAGGCATGGGCCTCCGTGGGCTGCATCCCAACCCTCTGCCCCACAAACACAAAGATATCAGATGTTTTGTGCAGTGAAAAATTACAAGTTGTATGTTCTTTCCATTTATGTGGCTACAAAGATGGTGAGACAGCTGTTCTGTCCGAAGAGGACGACGAAGACGAAGACACTGATTCTCAAAACGTGGAATCCGTGCCGAAAGTACCAGGTGCGCTATGGGGAAGGGCGCCAGGGAGGGCAGAATGGTGCAGGCCTTCACCTGGAGGGAGGTGTTCACCAGCATCAGCTTCCGCTGCTGCTCACTGTGAGGGCCAAAGGGAACCTGCTGCGTTGTGCTGGGGCTGGGCGTGGACCGCAGCGTGAAGGCCCCACTGGGGTCTCTGTCTCTGTCTCTATCTCTCTGGAAGAAAGAAAGAAACTTAAAAAATTAAACCAAACCACAACACACCCATCCTCATCGGGTGGGTCAGTGCCCTGGTCAGCTCCTTGAAGGGCGCACACCGCACTCCTATTGTGTAGAGAGGGCTTCTGCGGCACAGACTGCAGACGCCATTGCTCTCAGACACGCTGCGAGGCACAGCCTTTTTTGTTGTTGTTGTTTTTTGGAGAGGTTTTTGCTATTTGGCGCATGCGCTTGCCAGACAGAGAGAGACAGAGAGACAGAAAGCGAGAACCCCCCCCACCCCCTGGGAGGATGGCCGTGCTGCAATCACTTCTCCTCCATTCTCCTCTTGGGATCTTGGGCACATACGCACAGGCGTCTGGCATGAGTTTAAGCCACCGGGTCTGGGACTCAAACCACAGTCAATTAATTACATGGGAGTCCAGTGACATAGCCATCACGCTAACGGCTGGGGCCCACAACCTTTTTTAAGAGAGAATTTTGCTATAGGGCACCTATGCTCGCTGGAGAGACAAAGACAGACAGAAAGCAAAAAATCACCTCCAGGGGAGATGGCCATACCACAATCCCTTCTCCGCCATTCTCCTCTCGGGATCTTGGGCACGCACGCACACGCGCCCGGTGTGAGTTTTAAGCCACCGTGTCTGGGACTCAGACAGCAGTCTACTACGTGGGAGTCCAGGATGTAACCGCTATGCCCTGTGCTGGTCCCCAGTAGTGACTTCTTTACAGTCATCTGTTATTTTAGGAAATTTATTTTAACCAGAATGTAGTTCTTTCATGTAGTAAAGGCCAGGGAGAGGGGAACATGAGTTTACAAATAAAGGATGGACGTTCTTCTTAAGGCTCGCCTAGGCTGGATTTGGGTAGGACGGAGGTTCTCGACCCGGCAGCAGTTACTGAAGGCCGCCTCAGGAGACACAGTGTGTTCAGGAGCAGGAAATTCATGGACAGAAGAGATCCAGGTGGGAGGTCAGGGAAGTTCTTCCTCACAAATTAAACTAATGTTACTTCTGGGATCAGCAGATGGTGTAATGGTTATATTTCTCGACCCCCATGTAATTGACTGTGGTTCGAGTCCCGGACTCGGTGGCTTAACACACTCTGGGTGCAGGTGTGTGTGTGTGCCCAAAATCCTGAGAGGAGAATGGAGGAGAAGGCATTGTGGCATCGCCAGCCCCCCGGGGGGTGATTTCTCACTTTCTGTCTCTCTCCTTCTGGTGAGTATATGCACCCTATAGCAAAAATATCTCAAAGGAAAATGGTTACTTCCAAATCAGTATTTAAGAGTGTTTTGGGTTTCTTTTTGTGGTGAAAAGTCCATGACATAAAAGGCACCATTTGAAGGATTTCCGAGTGGTGCTAGCCATGTTTGCTCTGCCAGGATCTTCCCCATGCTGTCATGTATTTTTAAGTTTATTTATGCATTTCTTCCATGAAAGAGAAAGAGACAGAATCAGCCCCCCCCCCCCCGTGTCTCCATGCCACGGTCCACCGCAGCTTTGGCCAGCCTGCTCTCCCCAATGTGGTGTAAGTCAAGGCTACACAGTAACTTATTTATGAAACGGGTTTTGCTGACCGGCCTGTTGGATGACACCTGGTGCTGTACCAAGCATGGGCCTGGTCTCGAGACAGGAGACCTAATTTTCTGGCGATCTCATCTTGTACAATGAGTACTCTTTTGCAGCTAAGAATTTGCAGCTGGGAAGCAATTCCATAGCTCAGTCTTTGACCAGCATAGAGAATGAAGACGGGGCCAGTGACATTTTGGAAAAGCCCTCCAAGGTATGCCTGATTCCCTGTCCTCAGCACCGTGGTAATGGACGCGAGTCCCCTCTGACGAGTCAGGGTAAACAGTCCATCCCGGAAACCTGTCACACGGGAGTGGACATGGTAGACCCCCCTGGGGGCCGCCTGTGCCTGAGGTTCAGTGATTGGCCAGAAGGACCCACGGGCCCCAGAAAAGCTGTGACACTCCTGGTTACAGTTAATCACAGTGAAAGATGCAGATTAGTGTCAGCAAAGGAAAAGGTGCACAGGGCCGAGCCCAGGAGAAAAGCATGAGCATCTCGCTGTCCTCTTCTGTGGGGTGGGGGGGCTTAATCCCACCTGCAACTCCACGTGACAACACGCATCGTGCATGGCCCATGTAAGGCTGTGGCTGCGTCGTCAGGAATGAGGTCCAGGGCT